CCCCCCCCCCCCCTCTCCCCCTTCCTCTCCACCGCTCGTTGATCAATTTGGCTCGCCAGCCGCGTGTCGCCTGGCGTGATTCCGCGGCGACTCTCCGGCGACGTTGTCCTGGCCACACGACGCGACCGAATAATCGGCTCGAGGAGGAGAAACGGCGGAAACGGCGAGTCTCGCTCGTTCGATATTTTTCTCTCGAAAGCATCGCTTAAGGGTTAACGCGAGTTGACGCAAGAGGAGAAGAACGACGCGCGGACAACGCGACGGAGGAGAGCCTCCGTCCGGGTAAACACTGTGATTAGGGGCTCGGTGAGCCGCAATGCGAATTTCATGAAATTCGTTGTCGGCCGCTTCTCTCTCCGCGCTGCAACGCGCGATCCGTGGCTGGCTGTAATTCCACGCTCGGGATTAGTAAAACGTATGCATCGAGCGTTTCACCGAAGGATGAAAACGCTCGTTCGGCAGCGAACGGCGGTTCGTCGCATGCGAGTTCCAGCGTGGCGGCGCGAGAAGAAATCGACGAATCCTCGCGACGACACCCATCGGGGAGAATCCCTCGAGGATCGCCCGACCTCCCGATCGCCGAGGAGAAATTCGCGAATCCATCGAGAGCGTGCTCGCGAAAAAGAAACAAATAAACAGTGGCAAACCTGTCTCTCTCGGCTCCGCTAGTTCTTCGCTAATCCCTCATGTAACCACCGTCCTCACATCAACTGGCACTTGAGAAAACAGCGAATCCACCAGTACTGATACGCGATACGAGGGCGGGCGGGAATTTGGGAAAATTTACACCTCGTGCTGCGGCGGGAAAACGCGGGCCGGAAGTGTTTGCGCGATTCTGATGGGCACCGAAGCGAGCGACGGTATTTTCGTGGGTGCGGGGCGAGATCGCGGCTCCGGTCCGGCCAGAAGACTGCGCGATGGAAGTGGAAAAGCAGGAGCGTTGCGCTCCGACCACCATCGGTCCGCTTGAGCTTTCTACGACCGACGACGACGAAGACGGAGGAGGAGGAGGAGGATGGAGTCGAGCGGCGCGCATTGGCGTGGGCCCGTCGTCGGGGGACTCGAGGCCCCCGAGAGAGAAAGGCACGCGAAGGCAGGCGCGGCACGTAGCCGAGAGACACCTGCGTCGCCACCTGACAGAACTCGACACTCTCGCACACACGAGACCGCCCGATGTCGATAAGGTCATTGCTGCTGTCGCGACGACGCGCCGATCGCGATATTTGCTTATGGACCGATAATCATCGGACCGATTTCCGCGACGTGTCATTACGGCGCATGATTACAGTCGCGATCGGCGGATGATCTCAATTGTTAATTTCTGCCATTACCTCGCTCGTTGCCGCTCGCGAGAGTCTGATCGCCGCGTTGGACAGGTAGAGGAGACCACATTCAGGCCGATCGAATGCCACCGGATTTTTATGACATTTCTTCGGAACGCGGCTGATTTGACACCTATTGTCACGGGATGTTAATATTGGGCCCGGAGCGTACGAAAGGTGTACGAAAGGTCGCCTTGGCTCGAGGGGGATTCCAGGCCCGCCGTCCCTTCGTCGTCATCTGTCACTGACCGAGCCCAGCGCGCAGGATTCGTATGAAAGATCAATCAGAGGAGCCGAGTGAAAGTGGAACGTCGAGAGGGAATGCCCTGACGAGGCATAGCCGAAATAGTCGTAGGCCATGCGTACGGCCTCGCGAGAGGATGCTTCCTCGCCGATGAGGACTGTTCGGCAAGCCGTGGAAGACTTGCTTGTCCGTTCCCGAGGCGAAATTTTCCTTAATTAATTAGACTTCAAGCAGGCCTCAAGTCCCGACTCGGGCCTCGAGATTTTCAATTCTCCGGCAAGTCTTCAAGCGGAGAAAACGAAAGTAAGTTCCCACTTACAGCGTCGAAGAAGCACAATAAGCGCTTCTTCAATGCTACAAATAGGCCCGGAAAAGTGAGATTAGCTGCGGTAGCCGGATTGTTTGTAACATATGGACGCCTAAAATCTTCTTTTCCGTGGAGTTGAGACCTCCGGAGTCTAAATTCTAGCTTCTACATTAAGTTCCCGAATGGAGAAAACGGCGATAACTCTCCACTCGCAGTATCAAAGGAACACAAAGACCTTTGAAGACAGAACTAAACTAGACTTAATGTAGGATTAAAATTGCGACTACGGGTTTGTTACGGAAGATCCTCGGCGGATCCTCGTCGCGTCCTCGAGATTTTCAATAAATTCTCCTCAGGGTCCCCTGCACCAAGTGGGACGGAGTCGTCGATACTCCGAAGGGAGTAACCGGATCTCTCATTAGAAAACGAACGGCTCGGCGAGATGAGAACGTCGAGAAGATATTTAACGCGTGACATTAAGTAAGCGTCCGTACGCGCGCTTCTCGATGACTTCTGGTGACATTTGAAGGAAACAGCGATACCGCTCGTCACCGGCGGCGTATACGCGCTCGAAGGATCCTGCGGGAGCGTCATAATCATCATTACAAACTGGTTGTAAGAATTACGCCGCGCGTCACGTAACGCATCGCGCGGGAAAATCGTCTTACGTCCGTTGCGTAACGCCGTACAACGGCGCGAGGGTCATCGGGTGTAATTAATTACTCACCCCGGCTTATGTATCACAGCGCGTCGTGGAATTTATATTTAATTCTTCCTCGCGAGGAAGAGATCCGAGCGGTTTGCGCGTGATTTCTCGCTCTCGCGGCCTTGTTTACGTGTCGCGCCGAAGATAAGTTTTATCTCGCGCCGGCGAGATATCGCGAGTTTAATTAGCGTTGTTAATCGAGAAAATTGAAGGAAACTGAAGTCAGTCAGACCGAGGGAGCTTGCTTTGCTCCTGGGTGGCCTGAAACTTCGCGACGATCTCGCGAAGTGAAGCGGAGGAGCCCTGCTCGTTACAAAGAGACGAGCGTCTGGCCTCGTGTCGCAGGTTCGTCCGCTGCTTTCTCGGCCTCTCGAGAACGACGGAGGAGTCCTTTCTTCCTCTATCACCGGCCACCAAGGACGACGTTTCTCATTCCTCGTTTTCTCCATTTTCCTCTTTTTGCTCGAATTGAGCGGGCTTTCCGCCGCACGGAAGGCCGACGAATCGAGTCCCGTTACAAAAGGCCTTCTGTGCAGAAACGCAGGTTTCGCTTTCGAATGATTTTAATGGTGTTTTTATTTGAAACTAATTTAATTTCATAGTAAATGTCAACCTAAGACGTGAGTTTGCTTGCCTAGCAACTGTTTGGTAGCAACGCATTATAAATCCTAAATTTCGAAATTAGTTGTCAGAACTGTCCAACTATTAGATAGTAAATTTGGATGTAGACAATGATGTAAAATACAAATTTACTATCTAGTGGATAGACAATTCTAACATTCAATTTTTACTCATGATTACTATGTTCTACTAGACGGTTACTGGATGGCGTTTGATATTCAATTTCCATTGAGGATGTACCGAGTTTTCTATCTCGTTACTATGTAATTTTTTTCGTCTATGAAATAGAAGCTTACCTAGCCACGGTAATGCAGTGATTGTCACAGGATCGAAGGGAAGAAGGGATTTGAAGATTATACCGCGCGTAGGGACAGCTTACCTGTCCGCGGTAATGCAGTGATTCTCACAGAAGGGGTTGAGGGGAAGGGTTGAACCGCGTGAGAACAGCTTATCGGTTCGTGGTAACGCAGTGAATCTCTCAGGAGGGATGGAAGGGGAAATTCTGGAGACACCGCGTGAGGACAGCTTGCCTGTTCGCGATAATGCTGTGATTTTGTCAGGAGGGATGAAAGGGAAGGGTGGGAGGAAGCGGGAGAATCCGACCCCGAGGCTCCAGCACGCCGGACTTGCTGTCTCGGCGGATTTCACACCGCTCGAGCCGCCGACAGACCACGAGGGACGATCCCCTGACGAGGTCGAACCAATGGATCCCTCCCCGCGTATCACTCGGGGGGATGGTAGCGTAGTCCAAGCCAGAGCCCCGTTAGCCGCCAGGAGGAGTGCTGCGTCCTCCTCCAGCGTTTCCGACTCACACCACGAGGAGGTGGGGTTGGCACTTGGGAGATGCTGAGAACCAACATCTCCCTTGTGAGAGTCGAAGCCCTGGTCAGGTGGTCCACAGCCCGCGCGGGGGGGGGGGCGAGAAAGTATGCCGCTGGAGATGCCCGTGATGCCCCCGCCAAACCATTAGAAAAGGATCGCGGCAGGGGTTTTAGTGGGTATGCCCGTCTCTCCTTATAAGAGACGGGAGAGTCCTACATACTCCCGGGAGTCTCCCCGGATTCTCAGGGGATGCGCATTTTCCCTGCCTCAACAAGAAGAAGTGTATTATGAGCTGCTGCAACCGAGTCAAACCATCAATGCTGAACGCTACCGAGGACAATTACTCAATTTGAATCGAGCACTCCAAGATAAACGCCCGCAATACGTCAAAAGACATGACAAAATTATTGTCTCCCATGACAACGCTAGACCACGTGTTGACATGGCAACACCAGTGAAAGAAATCTTGGAGGCATTTGGATGGGATGCCTTACCCCACTATTCACCAGACGTTGCTCCGTCAGATTACCACTTGTTTCGGTCGATGCAGCATGGCCTTTCTGAGCAGCACTTCAATTCTTTCAAAGATATCGGAAAAGGCTGGATGACTGGAACACCTTGAAAGAATCTGAATTTTTCTACCGCGGAATCCATGTGTTACCCGAAAAGTGGGAGAGGGTTGCAGCTTCCGAAGGACAATACTTTGAATAAGATATAATGTACCGTTCTTTTGAAATAAACATGAGCCTTTGTAGCAAAAAGCAGCGAGAATTCAAGCATAATACATTGACAAATGGTTTTGCTGTTCTTATACAAATTCTCCTGCAGTTTGACGTATGGCCAGATCAGATGCGCAAGAAGACCGTGTTTTAAACGCTGTTATTTTACCTGATGTAATATGGTGTGCCTTCTTAAAATCCCAAAGCTAATTCCCTGTTATGGTAGTAGTAATAAAGTAGTAGTAAAGAATAGTGGATGGTGCTGCTCCTACGGTTATTTAGATCTGACGACATCATAACATCCTACTCTTTTCCTCAGTTTAGATCCTGAGCCCCAAATTATGTTTATGATGTTATTCGACTTTGAATATCAGTCGGCCGATAGATTTTTTTATATATCATTAGTTTTTATATAAGCTATATAAAGGTAAATAAGGTAAATTAGATCGCTTCCGAGAATGATTTCTTATACAACCCACATGCAATTCAAAACTCAAAGCGAAACAGTTGCAATTCTTAAAGTTTCATCCAAAACAACCTTCAGAATGCTTGGAAGACATTAGAAAATTTTCTGACAAGGTAGATTTATTGAAAACGGCATGTTTATACAATCTGCTTACATTTAAGAGTATAAGGAGTTCTGGCGGCAATTTTAGATAGTTCTCCACGAGCTCGACAACAAATTATTATGGTTCAATGCGATCCGACCAATATTTAAGAAATTATTCGAATTGAAATGTCAGCATTTATGAAATATCTCTAAGTCCGTATCGAAATATTTTGATACGTAAGAGTTCCAGAAGTTCTGGCGGCAGTTTTAGATAGTTCTCGACGAGTTCTACAAGAAATAATTATAGTCCGAAGCGATCCAAACATTAATTAAGAAGTTATTCTGTCTGATGTGTGCGACACTTGAAATATTTTTAAGTCCACATCGAAATCTTTTTTTAAGAGTTGTAGGAGTTCCGGCTGCGTATTTCGCTGATAGCCGAGGAGTTCTGCAAGAAATTATTATGGTTCAAGGCGATTCGACCAATATTTATGAAGTTACTCGAATTTAATCGTCAGCATTTATGAAATATTTCCAAGTTCGTATCGAAATATTTTGATACGTAAGAGTTCTGGTGGTAGTTTTTAACAGTACTCGACGAGTTCTACAAGAAATTAATATGGTTCAAAGCGATCCGACCAATATTTAAGAAGTTATTCGACCTCAAATGTCTGCCTCTGGTAACTTTCGATGTCGATTTTTTTAAACAATTATAAATATTTGATATTTTTTACCTATCAGGAACTTTAGAACTCGTCGAGAGGAATCAAATGCGCTATTCAGAACTATTCGGGCTCGATATCATATTTTTTCGAATTTTTTTTTAATTTTTGAAAGAAATCGAAAAATTTTCTTTTGCATCAGAAACTCTAGAACTTTTCGAAATACATCAAATGAGCTATTCAGAACTATCCGATCTTGATGTTAGGTGTGAATTTAGCACCCCGTTTTTCGTTTTTTTTTTAAGTGTTAATATAAGAGTATTCCTATATTCCTCTATACTCTTCGAAAGAAAGCTGGAACTCTAATCAGAAACTAACAGAACTATCGAAAACTAATGTTGGGGTGCTAACTTCACACGTCCAATTTCTCCGCTCCTCGTCTGCTGATGGACGATAAAAATTTTCATTCGTTCCAATATTCTCGACTCCCGTTGAGCTTCGTTCTCCCATTTCTTTATGATCTCTTGAACCTTCAGGTTTCTTTCCTTGGTGCTTCATCATCGTAAACGATCTTTCTCGCTCGCGGAACCTCACGGAGCCTCGGTTTCTCGAGTTTCGCGCTCATCGACCGGTCGGTTTGCGAATCCCCGTCTGTCGCTTTCTGATTTCCAGAATCCTTCCACCTCGCCGTTTTTGAACACTATCTTGTTTTCGTCAACAAATCTACCCATACTGTCGCAAAATTCTTTCATCTCCTTTCGGATGCTGCTCAGTTTGGAGCCAAACGGATACACCTTACTTTTTCTCGGATAGCTCTTGACGATATTTTTATTCGTTGTGTCATCTCTCATGTCGATGACTCTGCTCGTGGATTTCTGATTGTTTTCTAACATCGATTTTAGGTTCAACGTGTCGCACGAGACGGAGCACATGGAATTCTTCTTAATTTCGTGATCTGCGGAAAACAATTTTCATTTGTCTGATACCATCGTCCTTTCCTTTGATTTTGTCCAAGTTTCTTTACAACTGCATATGTGATTTTCAATCAATGAAGCTGCGAATATATAACGATATCATTTAGGCAAAAGACGATTGATCGAGTCGCTCACCTCTTGTCTCGTCATCGTCCCCAATTGATTTTCTTGAGTATTATTGTTAGTAAAAAAATATTACTATTGTTGTTATTATTATTATTAGTATAGTAATAATATTTCTCTAAACAGTGAACAAAGCAACATTCGTCAAATCCCTATACGATTTCTAGCTAATATTATTTTTGAAATTGAATGTCTAACGTCTCCGAGAAGAGCTTAAATATTATAAAACGAGAGAAGTGGGGATGGCAGTCGGCGAAATTCATGGAAAAGTGCAAACTGTCCGACAGGCCTGGTGTAGTACATAAATAATGTTGATATTATTTTTATAATAATTTAAAAGTTATGTCGGTCATGTTCTTATTAGACAGAATATATATCTAGATTATAGAAATATAAGATAAAAATATACTACAATATTTATTATAATAAGTAAATTTATTTGCTCTAGAGCCTAAAGGAAGTACCTGTTCAGGATGCTTGGTGAGATATTCATTTTTCGCATCTCTTATCATCCTGGTTACTTTGTTTCGTAGATCCTTAAATTCCTCCCATTCTACCGCATCTTTGTTCTTTTTTGCTTTAGCATACAGTTTATTTTTCTTTTGTATCTCAGTACGAATTTCATCCGTCATCCATGGCTTCTTTAATTCTAATACCTAAACAACCATATTTTTAAGTGAGAACACTTATGAGCACTAGGAAGGAAATTACCGAATATTACTAATGTGAGTCGTCATGTAGCACACTTAAAGAATATCTATCTCGAGCCTCTTGCTACAAGTCACTGGTAAATCGGCAAATTACATACAATTCAAGGACGAAGAAAGCGACTTTTGACCAGTCGATAAACAATCGGTCGCGCACACCGAGTGACGAATACATACCTCGAGTTTGTTGACTTTCTTCGTGTTGTTCAACGCTTTGCTCTTGGCACTACCGTTACCCACGAATCTAGGTGGTATCATCTGTGGCGGCAACGGCGGCGGAGGTATCCTCCTGTACCAATGTCGCATCGGATTACGCGGCCCGAGGCCACGTGGTAACATCGGCGGCGCGATACCAGGTACCATACCGCGTACCCTGGGTCCTGGGAAGAGACCGTTGGGTAACAGGCCGTTGGGACGTGACAAACCGGCCGGTCGCGGTGGCAACATTGGCAACAGTCTTTGTCTCAGCGGGCCAGGGTTGCTGAACACCGGGCTCATCGGCAGCGGCATCCTCGGCGGCATACCGCCGAACCTGGGCGGCGGTAAAGGACGCATTCCGGCCGGTGGTATTCGACCCCCTATAAGCGGACCTCTGTTGAGTGGGCTCATTCTCTGTTATCGCACTCCGACTCCTGGTGAGCGCTCTCTTCTGCTTACGATGTCCCTACCAATCGTGCACGTGTACTTCGTTACCGAGGATAAGTAGAAAGCCGGCGCGAGGTTAGGAACCGCAACGAAGGCTGCTGTGCGCGACAAGTGTATTATTAATGCGTTCTCAACAATCCGACGAAGTTACGCGTTGCCGAGTTTTCTCGTCCATCTGATGCGAAGAACCGTCAATATTTCGAACGTCGTGGTAAAAGTTACCGGTGTACGTATCCTTGGCGATACGCGAGCGAGACCACTGCGCGACTCGTCCGAGTTTGTTGACGATCGAAAAGCAACAAGACAACGTGGGCCTCGCAGTACAGTTGTGGGATCGACCACGGCGACGAACAATCATGAACTTGGTGAATCGCGTCTCGGTGTTTTCACCTGACGAGGCTACCTTCGAAAAAGCATCCGAATTATGGCTTCTGACCAATAAACTTCTACTTCTTACTGAAAAACGGCATGTTGATTGGCTACCGTGTCCTGTGAACAGAAACCATAAGCCTTGAGAAATTGACCAATCACAGTCGACTATTCTCCTCACATTCGACTGTGATTGGTTAATTTCTTATGGTTTATGGCTTCTGTCCACGGGACGTAGCAACACTTGCCCAGCGGCAAAAAGCGACGCTGTAGCCAATCAATGTGCCGTTTTTCCACGAGAACTGAAAGTTTATTGGCTGTCGCAACACTTCTTGCCGCGCGGCAAGCATTTCCGCGCCCTGTGGGCAGAAGCTTTTAGGATTGAGATTAAATTGAAATTTAACTAATCAGCAAAATTACTAAACTCAAGTTTAGTGAAATTTAGTGAACTTTGCATCGATTGGTCAAATTTCGACTTAATCTGAATCTCCAACGTGTAGTCTGATACGTTTTTTAGGTTAGACAAGGAACAACGATCCAAACCTCCTTATCTAACCTAATGTAGTTTGCATCTATTTTCTCAGGTGGCGTATCGAAGACTTCCGGTGGCGGCTTTGAAGTTTCTCTCTACTTTTGCTAAACGCTGGCACTATCCAATTTTAACTCACGTATTTGTTAATTCTTTTTTTAAAAGAACAACAACAAATACAAGTTATTGCAAATAAATATTAGAGGAATAAAGAGATAAAAAGTTATTCTGTATTATTCTATAAAATCGCAATCGTCTCGAGAACGTACCTCGTTTAATATCAATTTTAATCGGGACTCGGTAATCGTTCGCTTCACCTTTTCCTTCATTCTTTTTACACTTATTGTACATTGTTAACTCCTCTCTTCGAGTTTAGTGTTAAACACCGCTAATGCGAAAATAACACGCTTCCTCATGAGACGATGAATCCATCATTTTGAACACTCCAACGGATACCAGCGGCACCGGAATGTCATCAACATGATTTTCTTTTCAAAAGCTGTAACAACGCCAACTTCATCGCTTCGAGGGGAAAGGGGAAGATGTCTTGGCGAACGAGCGATATGGCAGGCGCATCGCGATTGGTCAGTGTGTTTCCCACGGCCCATCACCATCTGTCATTGGCCGGTTTTGTGAGACGCCTCGTAACGTCCCGCCAGCTGTTGAAGCTACGTTTGTTTGAATCAAACGGCAACTGAAGTTCGCTGTGTGCCGTACGTCCCTGTACGTGTCCTCGCTTGCTATGCATTAAAGCCACTTCCAAACGATCGGATACCTTAAGAATTTGTGGCGGCGGGACGCGACAGCGGCACGTATCAGTGGGTTCGTCGGATTTTCGTTTTTGTCCCTTTTCGGTGTTACTTCGTTGGCGGGAGAGGCTAAGTAATTTCACCTCCGTTAATACATATCGCGGATATTACACACATACCTAACCATAACGAGTGAAACAACTGCTTCGTCGAAGAACAAAAGGATCTTGTGAGGACGGAGCAGGAATATGGCCGCGATCAGGATACACGAGGATCAGGAAAATCGCATCGCCGCCGACCTGCGTGGTCGCGCCAAGGGTATCAATGGCACCATGGCTCATGCTCAAGCTCAAGCATTTCAGAACAGACGCGCTGTCCTGGGTGTCCTGAACAATAATTGTGCAGGAAATATACTACCCAAACCTGTACGTATGTCCATCTATCGTTAAGTACGATCTTGTCTTCCTTCTTGTGGTATCTTCATGTTATGAATGTCATTTTTCCGAGGTAACAAATGATGACACAGGCACGTTACTGTGGGTTGTTCAATATTATAATTTTACTATTCATGTCTCGAATAAATTACTCAAAAAGAATCCACATGATGGTTTTCTGAATTCAAACTTCGAACGTGTCATAATCAAATTCTCTTGTGTATTGATATAAATTTTATTCATGTATAATAAATACTGCGATATAAATACTGTGTTGTACGACTTTTATTGTCGTGAAGTTGAGTATTGATGTCTATTTGACTAGTATTCGGAGTTGGGTCTTTATTTAAGACCTTCTTAAGTTTATCTTTAGGTATTCCAATGATCCATGTAACATCTGCAGATGAACTTAAGAAGGTCTTATATGTAAGACCTGACTATGAATACCAGCCTATGACATAATATATTGAAATTCAATGATACATAGTAACCTACGTATAAGCTATAGAAAATTTCAGGCTGATCTTGATTGCTATTGATTTGTTCTTCCTTAGCAGGAGGTTTGTAAGGACGATAAATATGTCAAGACGAAACCAGTTATACCAACGCAGTATGAGTCTTTTAAAATTTATGAAGACAAAAAGGAGGAGCCAGTTTTTAAGATTTATGAGGACAAATTGGAAGAGGAAACCTCTGTTGTACTTAGAGATTCAAAGGAGAAGAAAGAGATGAAAACCAAGCAAGAAGCAGAGGTGAAATTGGATAGAGAAGTAGTAAAAGTAGAAGAGAATATCAGTGAATCGTGTATTCCGGCAGTGTTTCATGATAGCATGGATATTAGTCAGAAGAAGAATCAGAATGATAAACCCTATTTATCAGATAATCCTATGTTATGCGAGGAACTTTCATATAGTAATGAACGCCGACAAGAAGATCATGCGAACCGAAGAAATTCTAGAGAAATTGATTTTTTTGATATGGATGAATATAGATCTGACATATACAGTTATTTACGTGAGGTAGAGGTACGTTTATTTGTATGTTATATTAATTTGTCTTTGCAAATATTCTTCTTTTTCTTCTTGGCGCTACAGCCCTTTGTAGAGCCTACCTCTTTCTCGCATATATTTGCGGTGCGCAGATTATATACAGATATATGGGACCTACACTTTAACGCCGATTCCGAACGGCAGTTGAGTGAGGTTTTCATGGCAAATATACTCTCTCGGTGGTTTGTCACTCCATCGGAGAGGAGACACGAGCGTATGAAAATATTTTCATTCTACCGAGAGGCGAACCGGGTCCTCTAGTATAGCAGATCAGCTGCTATCCGCTATGCCGTGCTCGTCTTTGTAAATATATTGTAGCAATAAGAACGAAAATTATTTTCAATTTCAATTACGCTTTACTCTAAAAAAGTGTAAACTTTTCATTCTCGGTCGTTTGATTTCAGGCTATGCATAGAGCCAAGGCTGGTTATATGAAGAAACAACCCGATATTACGTACGCAATGAGATCTATCCTAGTAGAGTGGCTTGTGGAAGTAGTAGAAGAATATCGGTTACAGAATGACACACTTTACTTGGCTGTTTCATATATAGACCGTTTCCTATCGTATATGAGTGTTGTGCGATCAAAGTTACAACTTGTCGGAGCTGCTGCTATGTTTATCGCAGCGTAAGTTTTCCAGACAAATAACATGAAATTCAATGGGACGCCAGATTGTTGTACATATTGTAAGAGTTGGAGGGAAAGTATACCAGAAGCGCAAGGTTACCAGGTCGGGAATCGAACGTGGGGCCTTGCGCTTGCCAATGCTTTACATTATTTGAAGTCAAGATATAGTCTTCATTTTCAACTTTAATCTTTTACAATGATTAAGCATTTAAAAGATTAAGACACGTTGGAGTAAATATTTAAGAAAGAAAGTAGTTTCATAATTGCGTGTGCTCAATAGGAAATATGAGGAAATTTACGCTCCTGACGTAGGAGAATTTGTATATATCACAGACGATACGTATACGAAAAAGCAGGTGTTGCGCATGGAAAATCTGATACTGAGAGTGTTGGCTTTCGACCTGAGTGTACCCACGCCTCTTACATTCCTCATGGATTACTGCATCAGTAACAATTTGTCAGACAAAATTAAGTTTTTGGCAATGGTAAGTACACCACGAGTAGATTCTGGCCTTTGAATCAATTCTGAGACAACGAGAGCCAATGCGTTGAGTTTTGGTGCTCGAATGTCTTGAATTATATTTTTCAATCTATTTTTGATTAGCCGTCTACTTTTCCCCTGTACCTTTTGTAAGTTTGTCTCACATTGTTATCAGTACTTGTGCGAACTGTCGCTGCTCGAGGCGGACCCATACCTTCAATACTTACCCAGCCACTTGGCGGCTTCTGCATTGGCGCTTGCACGGCACACAATGCAAGAGGAGGTCTGGCCGCACGAGTTAGAACTATCGACCGGATACGATCTGAAAACTCTTGCAGAATGTATCAATAACCTGAACAGAACCTTTTGCAATGCTCCCAACATACAACAACAGGCGATACAAGAGAAGTATAGAAGTAACAAGTGAGAGCACAGACAAATTACGCGATAATGTGACAACCGAATAATCATATAACGATCACAGAATGATCATATAATGAAGATGTGATTATCAAATATCAATAAAGATGTGTGACAGGGAGTGATGTTAGCGTTACGATAACAAATAATATTGTTCAAGATAACGCAAATTAGTATAAAACGAATCTTTTTCCAGGTACGGTCATGTTTCTCTGCTGTTACCTCGTAGTACCGAGGCGGTATCATGCGAAGATGTAAGCGAAGAAGACGAGGAGGGAAACCCTTAATAAAATCCGTCAGACAGGATTGAAACACCGAACAGTAACAAAGTTTGGCGTTTAATTGACGATCAACTTGTCTACCGTGAGAGTCCAATAAGTCATCGGGAAGTGAAAAAGGGAGGGATTAGGGCAAGACTGACCTATTTGACTAATGTGAATGCAGGGCATGCGAGTTGTTTCTATTAGTCTCTCTAAGTTTAATTGGTTGGTATGTTATGCAAGAGCGAACATACTTTGGCTCTGCATTAAAATATCATATTCATATATTTTTTTTTCTCTCTTTCCTGCCCCGTACTATGATATTTTACATGTCTCTGGTCATGTGTGTATTTTATGATGCCAAATTTTAATCAACTTTTTTAAAATTCCGTTATTGTACCAACGAGTGGAAGATTTGTGGGTGCCATGAAATTGCATTTATAGATATATATATATATATGTTTTTAAGATATTAAGGACTCATACCGACTCTAATGCACCGGAATGACGCATGCAAATGGTTAATTTTGATTTCCATTGAGCTCTACTCACTCCTAAATAACAACTTTAGGCAAAGCAAAACAAATTTTATTTATTATTGTTTTATGGGTGGATAACGGGCCACTAACTGTAAAGGACATTTTATTGGAGATGTTACCCGATGAAATTTTATTGTTTCGACCAATTTCTTCCCAATCTTTGTACAGTTATTTATTACGATATTCTAGGTATCATGATTAGCATCAAATATCTCCGATAAAGCGAACTAAATATTTGATGCTAATCATGATACCTAGAATATCGTAATAAATAACTATTACCTTGTATATCCACTGTACTGTGCACTGTACAAGAACATTTTGACTTTATACGCTGTGCAACGATTGTGCCGTCATAGTTTTCTCGAGATATAAAATTACTCATCGACGGTAATGTTCTATGAGACACATCTACCATTTTCCCCCATCCATTCATGATACATGAATATAATTCTAAATTGGCTGTAATTAAGAATATATCTGCGACTATATGCGTATGCGGCCGTTTTACTGCACAGCATGATTGTTCGTATTTTTAATATATATGCCACGCGAAATACCTACATGTTCAAGTCGATATACGTGAGAGAAGTATGTTCGTACGAATTCAAGTATAGATATATAGGGAAAAAAATGTTACTAAATCATATACCGTGAAATGATTACACATTCTCAGTTCTGCGTTAATTGTAAATTGTATAATCTGTAAATTGTACAACTATCTGTACCACAGATAGTTTTCTCCAGTGGCCACGAAGAGAAAAAAAAAACAAAAGAAAAAAAAGTGAAATTTCCCGAGGAATATATTGACGTCGATAAAATACAAGTTGGTTTTTTCCAAGTAACGCGCTCACGGGGCAAGAGAAGCTCGTCGAAGTCTCCTCATGTGAAGGGATTTAAAATAACACAAAAAGATATGGAAGGAAGTTCAAAAAGTGGCCCTTTTTGTGAAACCTTCTAGGTTTTTATAACACCGACATCCTTTTCTCAGTGAGATTAGAAACGTCCTGAATGTATTTACGCGAATGTCTTTTATATTATATTTTCATATGTCAGACTTAGTGCTTATTGCACCACATTTAAATATTATAATTGAGAGCCATGGTATACAGAGATGATTACTCAATCACGCTGTTATCATTGGGCTACAAGGCCGTGAAAAATTTCTATAGTAAGTTGTAGGGAATACAAATGCGCTGCATTCGCGCTGCTGGTTACAGCGCGACTGGGAATGCACTCGTATAACGTGGCTCTAAAGCGTCATTCGGAGCCGTTTCAACGTAACATTGCGAAATTGTTAATTGTTGCCAAACGTTTCCGAACGAATGCGCATTAATCGACGAAAGTTTGAATATACAATTGTAAATACCAAAAAAAAGAAAAAAGGAACTTGTTCTACGAACGTTTCGGAAGGAAAATTTTCACAAAGGAATAAAGGAAGAAGAGCACAAAAAACGCCGAGTCCCTTTCTTTTTTCACTTTTGTATTAAAAATGCTTCAACAGTACCCAAAAATTTGTCCATAGAGCAACGTGCGTTTCGAAAAAGAATTCAAACAACCTCTGTCTGCGTATATAAACGTAACAATAGTATAAAATGAAGCAATTAAAAATGACAATAATCGGTGTGTGTTCGAGAGCGGAGCAGATCTATTATACTTATGACATTAGACCTTAGCAGGTAATGAGGCGTATATTCTACTCATCGTCAACGGCGAGTAAGGGGGGAAGTGTGGTACGCGTAATTTCTTTCATTTTTTGTTTTTTGTATCACCGGTATGTTGAAGAATCTAGGCTTGATCTGGAATACGAGATATGATATGATTAGATGGTTGATACAAATTGGGATTACATTGGAGCCGTAAAGGTGCAGGATTATCTAGGCAGTTATCGGAATCGAGTGTTCGTTAGTGTTAGTGTGTTGCTTTTTGCACGTATGCAATGTATAAATGATGGATCTCCTCCATTACATCGCAAATCGTTAAATTGTTATTCTACTGTTGTTTACACTCATTGGTATCATCGCCTTGTTTCCCACCTGAAGGCGCATTAGTAGGAGAGGACGCCTCTTCTTCATCATCTTCGTCCTCGTCTTCATCATCGTCGTCCTCGTCATCGCCTTCTTCCTCCTCGTAATCTTCATCCTCATCTTCCAAGCCTTCGCCTGGAATCAATCATAAGGGAATAGTTTTATAAAAATAAACGAGAGAGAGAAAGGGAGAGAGGACGCATACATAACGTGGTGGGAGTCTACAATGAATGAACTAAAATATTCTCGTATAAGAATTACCTGTGTAATAGAGCACAGCCCTAGGAACTATACGTTCTCTAATGTAATGACCTATTTCGAAGTCGCTGGTCAATAAAGCTTGGGTTTCATCATCTAAATCAGCATCCGCCTCTTCTGGCACTGAAACGAGCGTTTGTCCGAATTATAAACGGGATGAATGCAAGTTGAGCGTGAAGGGGAAAAGCGTGAGATTTATATTTACCAATTGGCGGCGTGAAGAAATTAAAGAAGGAATCATTCCGGACAATTTTGGTCACGGTACGCATAGATCCCCGGGATTTATGCTTCTGATTTTTTTTGATGGTTTTTATCGTAACGTTCTTGCCTTTCTTCCAGTCGATCGTACAGCCCTGCGAAACAGACATTCATTCATTTTTAGCAGTATGACTTTTATCGCACGACAACTAATCCAGTTGAATAAAAAAGCGTACCTTGCATTTAAAGATCTCAGGCCCTTCGAAACTGAAAGGATCGTTTTGTTCAGGAGCACACTTCATGATGTACTCTTTAGTGAGTACTGTATTCGAGAAGTAATCATTGGCCGAGAAATAGAACTCGAGAATGAAACCCTGAGAAGGGGGGCAGTTAATTTTAATTCAGCTCTCTTCTTTAACTACTATCAAACACGATAATATATTTAATCGTATTACGACTCACCATTGGATTCGATTTCAAGAAATTTACTTTAATATCAGTTAGATGTTTCAAGATTGGCTCGTCGTGATCTTGCACCATTTCGGCTAATGTACCTACATTCTTAAATATCGTTAGCCAAAAATCTGGGATACCCTTAATATCGGCCTCGTTATCCGTTCTGAAGTCATTCAATAAGAATTAGTTAACTTATACCTACGACTAATTATATATACATGCAAATGGATCGAGATTAATTTGCTTTGTGTCATTCGCAGGAAAAAATTACAATACTTTAATTCATTCCGAGAACATACTCATCCTTCTTCTCTGCACTCTTATCCACGATCTTCGCCTTGCTTTTCAAGTCGTTGACCAGACCTTCCTCATCCTCATCGCTCTCCCAAGCGCATTGTTCATCCGTCGGCTCGTAAGCGCCAGATATTATCTCGCTTCGCTTCTGATACAAGGGTGCGCACATTTGAGAATACTCGCATTCCAAAGCATGTACTTCCTCATAGAATTTGGCTTCAATATTAGTGGTGACAAGCTGCAGTTGTTTCAGTGCTTTGATCCTGCGTTTAACGGCAGCAGGAAGAGACTGCATTTGCTAAAAATATCATTGTCTTTGAGAAATTTATGTTCCGTATAGCTGTGGAATCAAGTTAATGCGAATACAACCGAATATATCATTTGATATTTTATTACAAAATATGTGATTTATAATGATTTCATGTTTCCCTATTTAATTGTAACAATGATTGGTTAATCATCAAGGCAAAGATCACAAGCCAACTTTTCCAATATTCTGTGCGAGTTAGTGACAAAATGATCACTGGTTAGATTTAAGTCGACAGAAAACAGCTAGCGGCCACAATTGAATAGGGAATAAAAAAAGAAAAACATAAAGAAAAACGGATGATAAAAAAATTCCAAAAGAGAGAGAAAAATAGAAAATTTGTTAGACATCGTTTTTGTAACTTATTTATGTCTATTGTTTCTAGCTGAACTGGCTGAAACTAATTTAAGAAATGTAGACACATTGAAGCGCACAAGAATTTCGTGCATACGCTTCATACGCTTCTGTGTACGTAAATTTCGTGAACTAGTGCAGCCAGTTCAGCTGAAAAGAACAGACTAATTGACTAAGTGAGATACAAGATAGGAACGGGCAAGCATTAGGAAGCATGCGATTAAAGAAAGATCTTCGCAATATCGTTGCATAATGTACGTTCGGAGAGTCATATACTGCTGTAGATAAATGCAAGAAGTATGGTTTGTCGAGTTTTTATAGAACGCGAAAAAAAAGATTGCAATACCTCTAACTCCAATCCTTGTGCAGACAAATGATGAAGAGTACCTAACATCCCGACATCAGTACTACGTAAAATTGCGGTCGCCCTGACTGGACGTCCGGACAAATTCACCTTGGACCCCACATCGTTGTTACTATCCTCACCTTCAACGGAATCCATATCGCTTGCATTGGCAGCGCGTTCCGGATTGGTTGTCATTTTTTACTATAAATTCAAATGTATCGCTGTAGAACTCTACACGGGCTGATCCGGAAAATTTAGAGAAAATTACACAGATTCGTCTAAAGGATCGCTTTTTTCTCTCTCTCCAGGAGTCGCGAGTTCGTCTGAGACCCTTCTCAACTGTAATTTTGCGGAATTTTACGTAGACTGAGAATTGTATGTATATTCGTATGTACAATATGCAGTCGTTCCAATTCGCTTAGTCACTTAAAGCGGTGCTAAAAAAAACTCACAAAGTAAAATGTACATTGCTTTACATAAAACCTAAAAAAAAAGAAAGGAGAGGCAGTCGGAAAAGGACGAAACAACCAAGCTAGCAGGTACGAGGCTCGATGCCTCGTTCATGAATGAGAGAGGAACACAGTGATGTAATTAGTTCAGTCATCACATACATACATAATTGATATCGAAAGAAAGACCTTCCGCGTGTCACGTTTAAACGTGACACGATTAATCGCCGGATGATCGAGTAACATGGGGGCGGGTGCAAGGTTCAGCTTGTGAAAAGAGAGGAGAATAAAAAGAAAACCTGCTCTCTCGGGGAATCTGCATATTGTAGCACACGAGGCAAATCGCCACGAGGATGGCGAGACTTCCCGACTCCTTCGGCACGCGACGCGAAATTTCGCTGCGCTGGCTGCGGAGCACAGCTGCGACGCGACCAAAGTCCTCGCGGACACGCGCGAAAGACGAGACGGGAGGCGAAGGGAAGCTCTCATCACAGCCTCGTTGCGGGATTTACGGATTTGCTCTCGGCGAGGCTTCCCGCGACCGCGCGCAACTGACGTTTCGCAGCACGGCGCGTCCGTGAAAGGTTATTTCGGCGCGCTCGCGAGCACGAATAGAAAGAAAGAGAGAGAAAGAGAGAGAGCGAGTGAGAGGGAAAGAGAGAGAGAGAAAGAGCACCGTTTGCGACGAGCTCGATGCAAAATCTCGTCGGCGAGGAAGCGCACGAGGAGCGTGCGAAGGGTGGTCGACGAAGCGGTCGGTTCGGGGACGCTGTTCGCGGCATCAGCGCGGAGAATTCGGCCGGAAGGACTCGACACGAGGGAACGCGCACATGGGGGATGACGAGAACGCCGAACGCCCTCGGGTTAGAGACAAGGACGAGAGGAAGAAAAAAAGGGGAGGGAGCAGCACGGTGGCGATACGCGGGATCAGCAATGTGCGCACAATGAGCAACAATGTAATATGTCGGTGAACGTGCGTGCGTACGAGAAATGCGTACGTGCGTGCGGTCGACGGGCAAGCAAGGCGTGCAACGCGGAACGGGCGTTCCTCGGCGACGATGGAGAGGTGTTAATCCACCGGCGCGTACTCATACCCACCTTCGTATCACGTTAGACTGCTCGCAGGAGAACACCGAACCGGAGTGAATCAAAGCGGAGAATGAACAACGGACCACGGGAACCGGTACCAATGATGCCAGGTGGAGGAACTTTCCCACCACTCGGCCGTCCCTATAAGCTGTCCACGTGACTAGCACGGCAGAGCCGTGTGCGAACGCGACGCGGGAGTCACCGTTGGGCGCTTCTCGAATTTCCCTTTCGTCGTCGTTCGTACTCACAGCGCGCTCGAACGTCCTCGGCCGAGAAAGTTGGTGGAATTTTGCCGTGCTCGTCTGCGAATTAAGCTGCTCGCTTAATGGTGATCGCACGATCTTCCCTTGACGTTTCGCGAGAATCGGCCGCGAATCGTACCTTGTTTTCGACTCCACTCCGTACGCTACTGAGGCTCATCTGTCGCTTACGTAGCCGCGCATGCGCGAGAAATCCCTCCGGCCAGCATCACTCACCGGTAGCAGCCTCTGGTGACGGTTGACCAGTGGTTGAAAGCGCGACGTAAGAGCGCCAGGCTTGCTCCGGAATCGCGAGATCGCGATCTTCAGCGACACCTCGTGTCGCCGGCCGCGAAACGCGCACATCGGTCGATCCGCCAATGAACCGGGTCGCGGCCCGTGGGGGATTGTTGAATTTTTTCCGATATCGGTTTAAATTTATCGTCCGGTGCGACGTCTATAATTAATCCCGAGCGTATGCACGCCGTGACGTTAGCGAGCGAACGGAAAATATCGAGGTCCCTGCTTTCGCACGACGCGGTTATGTTCGTGATGAGATCGGGCTGACAGCTTTGATATTTTTTTTTTCGTCTGCCAATTGCAGCGCGTATGTGCAGCGTGTCGACGTCGTCATCGTCGTCATCCTCGTGCGGTCACTTCTGGCGTACGTAACTTCCTCCTCTCCGGTGGAATTACCTTCGCGCGCGAGTCCGGGCCGAGAGCGTTCCTCGAACGGTGAAATATGTGTCTACGCATACGTTCGATTCGATAATACCCGCCGCCGCGAAATATGTCAGCGGACACGACGGATCCGCAGGAGATAGCGTGCACCGAATACATCCACGATGGCTGTCTCGTTAACGAGCTCGACCGCATCGACCTGTCGCACTTGGAGTTCGATGACAACGACGATTGGTATGTGATACCTGCATGTTGGTTTGTTTTTTTGTACAGTCACTCAGTGTCTCCCGGAATGAATTGTCCTATGTCAGCCTCTAATTGGTTCGTTCATCTTTGCGTGTTGGTACAAATCGGTCGAAAGATTACACGTCGCGTTTGGAATGAAGTATCCTCGTGAGGAATAAGCATTGACAAGTGTTATGAAAGAGTATGAGCGACCAGAAGTGTTCATTGTTCGTAAAAACAAAGGCCAATGTTAGTTATTGTGGGCTTTGAAAAGTTTGCTCTTAGTTACACATCTTGTATAATTCAATATGTTGGCCAAGATAATTATATTCTTTTAAGATGTTTTATAATTATCCCTTTCTGTGTTACAGTTTATATGCATATTATTCAGATCTTCTTTCAGAATGATTTAATTTAATTTAGAATTAATACAGAAAAATTGTCAGACTGATGTTGATTGTTGTTCTTTAGGTTGTACATGCCACCGCAATGCTCAACTGAATCTGCAATTCAGGACCTATACACCTGGCTGAAAACGGAACCAGAATTGGATGTTCGAAGTATAAAATATAATAATATTGCATTTCACTGCTTGCTCGAATTTTTTTCAATTTCACTTATGTATCTGCATCCTGAAGGTTATATATATGCTTATTACTGATATTAAATTTAACGTATGTTTAGGTAACAGGAAATTCATTGACACGAGAACATTTACAAGACCTAAAAAACGAACATCACGAATGAGTTTCGAGTCGATTTTTGAAGGATTGCCACGTTGCATCACGAACATATGGAAGCCACAAAATTCAAATGATACGCACACTGAAAATGTCAGTTGTTTGCCCATTTTTTACAATTCACATTCTTATATACCGATGTTAAAACCGATATTAAAAAATCATACTATATAATAATCTCTTAAGATAAATCATACTTATGAACCAAAATATTAAAAATTGTATTACGTTTCGCAAACTAATACTAACTAATATTAATATAACGTAATTGTATTTGATAGTTGGGGAAATATTCATCTACACTAACCGGAGACAAGGAATCTGTACCACCGATGCTCAAGCCATCTGTCAAAGCAGGCGTAAACGCACTGTCCGACGAAAACTTAGTAAAATCAGGACAAGCGAGTATGGAGGCCTTCTTAAACATGTCACAATCCAAAGGAATTGATTCATTTATAAACTTAGGCGAGCCTGAATTCAGTGATCCGCTGATGAACATGTCGCAGCCTTCTGTTTTGTACACATCTATTATCGGCTCCGTGAACGAATCCACGTTCGTCGAAAATAACCTAATACCAATAACGCGTAAGGATATTACCGGCCCGGAACAAGTTGCTCATCGAGAAAGCGACGTGCAGGAAAAATCCGATAGCGTCAACGCGACGTACGTGATGCAAGACGACAACACTCTGATTTCATCGAACGAAACGTACCGCGTAAATGCTCTGAACGATACCTTCTGCAAGGACTTTGCTCCACCGGATGTATGCTTGAACGAGACCTACGTAGCCTCTGACGAAGCGTTAACGCCGTTATCGAATGTTCATAAGTCAAAGACGGCCACTTTGTCTTCCACCTTCACAACCGAGCCTAATACCGACGATGATTTCGCACAGTTGCAAAATGAGGCCAATAACGACGTTAAGTCATTGGACAGCACATATCTATCGTCGGCCAAACCCGTCGACAGGCAGGACACGACGACGTCGATCAAGAGCGACGCCTACAAGCCCACATCGCACGCGAGAAAGACGAACCTCGACGTAACTTGCAACGTTCCGAGCAACGGGAGCAGGTATTCCTCGGCATTCCTCGAGACACGAGACGCGAAGGACACCTTGGATGTGTCCTTCAGGATGCCTCTCTGCAGTCAGTCTACGCCTATACAACCGAACGCGATGAATCCGACGTCGAAACTCGGCGCGAAGCACTCGGAGCAACCGCGACCAAGCCTATACTCCGCGCTGAAGGCACCCACGTCGTTGAGAAAAGAGCTGCTGGCGGAGATTCGCCGCAGCGACGAGCGCCGGCTCGACGTCACGTACAATCACGTTGCCGGCGATCAGCCCGGCGCGAAGGAGGACGCCGGCGTCTTCCCGTTGGAGAATCGATATCACACGTACAGGAAGTCGGCGTTGACGACGATGACGAAGAATAATCAGTCCAGAGGCCTGTACAGCGAGCGTGATGCAACTCTGAGCGCACCTCAGAGGGACTTGACCGCGGATCGCAAGTTTTACACCTTCACGAAGAAGAGCAACAACAACCTCGCGGAGAAGAAGAACACCGAGAACACGGACAAGAACGCGGAAGTGGCGCGTCCGAACATGGACGGCACGTTCTGCAAGCCGCTGCCGAAGAGGAACGCGCCCAAGATGTTCTCCAAGTTGCCGCAGTTCTTGCAGAAGTCCAATCCGAACCTGGTCTCGAGCTCGCTGCGGACCGGTGTCAGTCTGTCCGGCAGCACCAGCTTGTTCAGCGCCGGATACATCAAAGGCTCGCAACCCAACATCCTGCAGAACGTGGAGAAGTCGAGTCTGCCGAGCAAGCTGCATCCGTTCGGCAAGCTGAAGAGCGGCTCCGAGCAACGACTCGTCGAGGTGAACGCGAAGAACGCGAGCGACTTCCCGGCGAAGGGCGCGACCGGCTCGACGGAGAGCATAGAGAGCACTCAGAGCGCTCACAGCGCCCCCGACCTGGACGACAGGCTCAGCACGTGTTCCGACAGCAGTCACAATTCGTGCAACAAACGCACGATGAACATAGAGCAGTTGCACCAGCTAGTGCGAATGCAAGAAGAGAGTAAGCGCTGAACGAGGCTCGTCGGGGACCTCCCACGAGATCCGGTGTCTAATGCTGAACTCGCCTTTCTTTCAGGTTTGAAGCAGGACTCGCCGCCCAAACGGCTCCTGGAAAACACTTGGGTCGAGCCGAAGACGGATTTACCATCGCCGATCTTGAAGAACGGCATAGAACACGGCGAGATTGACACGCATCCGTTGCTGAATACCGTAGTGAACATGAAGTGCAGCTCCCCTTTGATAAGCCCCACTGGGTCTAGTCATGTCTTAAACAACGACGGTAACTAGATAATAATAATTTCAGACAAATTCTCAGTATTCGCGGTTCGCGGTTTTTATATTTGGTCTCTTTGGAGAGAAAGCGTCCGGGATAAAAATAAAAATAATAGCGTGTGTGATCTGCCTTTTCAAAATGATCGTCGATAAACGAATAACATTCGTGTTCTTTAAGGGAATTCGGAAAGTAACACGGGGAAGACCAAGGATGATGCTGCGGTAGCTGGTAAGACAGAGGTATGTTTCTATACGTAGTTTGGTTTGAATATTATAGAATTACGACTCTGATGTGTGTGTTTTACGAATTAATGTCCGGCTCAGCTTGTCTCGGCCAACGTATCCTCTCTTTGATGGATGAATTTATATGTGAATATTCGCTCCAGACCGCGTTCGTCGTTGTTCGACTCCTACAAATGTGTTAACTTGCAGGGTCCGAATCAAGTAGTGCCTAAAATTGAGAATAAGACTCGGTTAAGACAACCAACTAATTGGAGTACCGGTAGCAAGCCATCTGCTGTGATAAGCGGAATTCCTAGGCCCGCGTCGCGTATACCGGCTCCCAGATTCGCCAGACCGAATAATGCGAAAATTAATCAAGCTGATCTGAGAAAGGGATGCACGTGAGATTCCGTTTAGTGCAAACATGTAGAGAGAGAGAGAGAGAGAGAGGCGAGAGATAGAGACTTGTATGCCCGAATCTGTTTTAGTCGAATCGTTATTAGTGCGATGATTAGTAGCTGGTTATTTTTTTTAGTTCCATTACATACATAATAACAATGAAGTATCTTCTCAAAACCAATAAAAATTCAGTATTATTGAGCTTCCAAGTCGGTGAAACGATCAAACGCAAATTAAAAAGGGGGATATTACTACTATTAATATATAATGTTTGCATGTTGTTCGCTTGTTTGTATTCCACACGTAAAAAATTAATAATGTTGTGAGATACTGCGTTGTCACACATTATTATCCTCGTATAATGCGTAGATGCATCCTTTTTTACGACTCGAAGCGTAATTTTGCTGATACGCAATGAAAGAATATCGAACCTTGTATTATTTACACAAACTTATAAAATATACTTTGGAAGTTTGTTAAGCGTGAAGTTGAAAAAAAAACGAACGAAAAAAGAAAAAGAAACGAAAAAATGTCAGTCTATCCCGCGGATTAGATTATTTAAGTTATAAATTATCGTTGCCAAAAAAAAAGAACTAAGGTTCCAAGATTTTTAAGCGGTATTGATGTTGTTTGTAATTTCTATAGGACGTAGGAATTGATATTTCTATTCGGTGTTTTGCACGAGAAGTCGAAGGAGAGACGTCTCTCGCACGATAGTTAGTACAAACAACAGCAATAAATTAAAAATATTTGTATATAAAAACGATATATAGTGTTTGTAAAAGTCGTTCTTAGTGTTTTCTGTTAGAGTACCGAGTGACAAATCGGCCGCAAGTTGAAAAAATGCATATATATCGAAAGACTGTAAATGTAAACCGACATAATCTTCACATGTGCGCAAAATTTCATCTAATTCCTGTTTCCGTCCTGTTTGGCATTATAAATGCTCCCTTCTCGAGGGACTCGCTTGTTACGATGCTTCGTCAAGTTACCGGAGACATATCATCGCGTTTACAAATCATAAAAGTTTGATATGTAGCGTGAGAAAACTGTTCGCATCGTGCATATCATTTGTTCGGTCCCTGAACAAATCGAGTATTGGAAACTGATTGAGATAAAAAGAAATACATATGTTGAATACACGTTCGATATTTTGAGAAGCAGAGAAGATAACACAAATCGTAAAGAGATATTTTGTGATCTTACGTGTTGTAATAGCCGCGCATGTAGATACATATATGTATATATATACATTTTGTAGTAAGCGTTTTCACTTTTATACATTGATAATTATTAAAAATGCAAGCAGAAAAAGCTGTGTCTCTCGATTTGGTTGCGGACTCCTCGTAGCGGCACTACACAAACGAAGATAACAATGTATGTTCTTCTTATTTTTCGTTTATACCGAGAGAAAACGCTGAGCAAACTTCTAAGTTAACTCGAATATTCTAAAGGAATTGTCAATTACAATTAATCACCATGTAAAATGATATTAGTATAAAAAAAGAACTATATATATAACACATTTTTTTATTACGAGAAATATATATATATATATATATATATCGTAAGATTCTATGGCCCATATTCTGAATTCTTTTTCATTGATAAAAATGCTTTAAAAAAATGTGACTTTTCAGCCAATCAAGTGGTTTCTATAAATCATTTTTAGAGGCATTTTTATCAATGAAAGAGAATCCAGAACACGGACCTATTTCGCGAACGATTGCTATCCTACGATTAAAGTGCAAGGATATTTTGCTGCATTCTTATGTATGTTGTTGACGTTTTTATTCTAATGGGGAGCGTGTGACGCAAACCTGCCCAAGTTATTAATTTTAATCGCGAATCAGAATTAAAACACTATTGTATGCTCATTGTAAATAATAAAGCGAAAAGTGATCGTCGTATCGTGATCCCTTATTTATGTCAGTGTAAGAGTGCTAGACCTTAAGTGCCTTTATTGTATTAATCAAGATACAAACGTTTTTTTATACATGAAAAATACAAAAAAGTAAGAAAACGCGCTCACTGATCTAACGAATTTTACTGCCCGAGTAACGTTGGGAATATTTAATGTTACCTTCTTTTATAAATCTTGTAATAATAAATAATATGTTATTACACATCCCTCCTACGTGCCTTTTCTACACCGTCGCAATCGTACGCGATGCATTCGTCTTCAACAGATGACAATTTAAAGGAAAAGAAAACATGAACGTTCTTACGCATTTAATCAAACGATATCCATGACAAATAGGGAACTAAAATTGTTAAGTTTTTTATCCCTTTTTTTGCTCTTCAGCAACAGTGTCTTCGATTTCGATGATTGAGCGAATAAAAGATAAGCTAATACATCGCTCTAAGAGAAGCATGTGGACTTTATTGTAATTTTCTCTCATCTTTCATACGTTGCTGTGAGGACAATGAACAACTTATCGTACTACATAACGTACCAAGTATAACATTAGTACATAATAAAAGACTAGATATACTCTTCAATTACGGATAGATAAACGCATAATCGTGTTACGTGTGTCGAATGTGCAAAATGCCTTTGTCCTCCGGCGAATAGTGAATTACAAGCAAATAGAAATAAACGCGTCTTATTAATAGTTGCCTATAGAATATACAAATAATACGCACAAAATTCAACAATGATGACGAATGCGCGTTTCGCTTAAACGAACCAGTGAAATTCATATATATATGATGATACAAGAAAATTACATACATTTATAATAATTACGAGAAGTGGAATGTGAAAAAATTCGTGATATAAATAACACACGTATAACAACCGAATACAGTGAGATTACAGATACAAATTGGGAAATTAACGTTCGCTGATATGATACAGATATTTACTTAAAATATTATTGCGATGATTATGTTGTAACAATCCGCCAAACATTGTTGTTGCATATTAAAAGCTACCGTTGTAATCGGTATTCAGATGATTAAACAATAGCTCTACGTCGGATGTTGTCTAACCATCTGACAATATATTTAGACAACCGTTGTGCTTATAAAATATCGCGTGAAAAATTCAGTAAAAATACTTTGGTCATTTCCTTATATACCGATATTTAACTATAGTACACGTAACATATAATAATACGATAATAATATGCAATCGTTTCTTTCAATTAACTTTGGTCGCCGTCTTAAATTACTTCCGAGACGTCACGTTAAGTTTGCGGAGTAATGTAAGAGAGCAACCGTTGGTTATTACAATACATAAATAATATTAATATATGTTATATATACAGGGTGCTTTCCCCTTCTCATGCGAACGATTTTTCTTTATTTCGAGCGTACGTACGTACGCTTTTCGAAGCCTCTGTCCGTTAAAAGTTAAGAAACATCCTGTATAACATAAATACTTAATGCGTAATATCTATAAAATGTATAATGAATATATATATAATATGAATACATTATATTATTATGTATGCGAAATAATATATAAAACATTAAATAATTAATACACTATGATGATGTCAGTATTACTTTCATAATACTGATCAGTGATACTTTCAATCTTAGTAAAAAATGTCGATTCTCGTGGCATAATACTGAATGGATTTGTCATCAGAGAGAATACGATTGAAGATGTATATTCTGATTAATGCTGTGCTGTGCTCATATGCTTGAATATCTTCAGTGTTCTAATAATTGTGAAAAATTGCACATCTCCACGTTGTTAATAGTGATAAAAAATCGGTGACGTATAGATCCTTGCGTATAATTTCCTTACGAAAGGTAGGAATGTTGTTAGCTTGATTACTGTTACATCGAGTGTTGCGTAAACCAAAAATACAACCATAAGATATGTGTATCTCGCGTGTAAGAGAAGCGTTGCGAGCTTTTATACCAGTTAATTTTGCAAGTTCAAATATTCGATATCAATTTCGCAATTTTAAATATTAAATATTAATGCATTTTTAAATGTCACTTTTTATTACATTACCTATACCGTTTTCGTTATCGATCACTAACGACGATATCGCTTCCTTTTCGTGAAACTTATACATCACGCGCTGTTTTCATACCGCAAAACAGCTTCGCTACTTTGTAATCGGTAACAAAAAGATTCATAGATGTGACTTCCTTAAATGTGCAGTGAACATCATGCGAAGGCACTGTAAAATCATACCGTACTTATGACTTATCATTTACAAACACCTTACGTGTGAATTATCATTTCGTGAAGAATACACCGAACGTTCAATAAAAAATGTATAGCTGCAGTTTCCGAACTATCTCGACGGAAAAGTTCTCACTGGCCGTCAAAATGAGGCACGCGCATAAATAGTTTTAATAACTTTACATAAATAAATTTATCGATAACCAATGTCGAGTAATGAGAAAATGACCAGAATGTAACGTGCAATATTGAAAAGGACACGCCAATATTGTAGAGATTCGTGTGTGTATTCCACGCTCTTTCGCACCGATGTATCGTGAATAATGTCGGAGTCGCCGTGTAGTCGCGCATTATACATTCCGAGAATAGAAATAGATTCGTCATACGAAATACGGTAAAGTGAACACACATTCAGAGTAATTGTCGCGTCACGATTTAGCGTCGTGATCGCGTTCTTATAAAATAGTTCGGTACACCGTAATGTCATTCACACCTTCTGTACCGTAATACACCTAATGATTGTCCATTAAAAAGCTATCGATTTAGAATGATGTAGTAACTCGTGGGAAAGTAGTATACTTAGAAATGACGGTTCACATGCGACCGTATGCTGCGTCGAGAGCTGCGTCGTTATTCGCATGCCAGTTTACTGTCAAAACTACTTAGAGCGATGGCGAATGCCTGGACCGTACAGAGGGGAAATCTGTAATCCATCGTGAAAACGTCCTCCGCGACACGTCCGAACTGCATCACAACGTAGTCCACTGAAATTAATGAAAACCCACGTCAGTGCATCGACAATCGTATCGAGTATCACAGCGTATAATTTATATATATGTATTACAGGATGTCCCAACATGAGGAAAACACCAAAATTGGGGAACTCAAAAAAAAATCGGAAAGAATGACCCCCTTCGAAATCATTCAAATCGTGTTCTAAGCATTTCTCGTGCCACTCAAAACAAAAGAAATATTTCGGTGTTCTCTTTATGCTGGAACACCATGTATGATTAAGTGAATATGGATACAAAATATCGCTAGAGATTGTTTGATTTAAACGCTTCCTTGTAAAATTCAAAAGACATCGAGTTGCGTCTCACCGTCGCTGTCGTGGACGACTTGGAAATTTTTCACGGACGCCTGAGTCACTCGCCCGTGGAAGTTCAATACGTAAGACTGCGTGTCGTCGTTCCACACGGGTGTCTTATTGTGTAACTCTATCAAGTTGTCCATGTGTTTCAATTTCCAGCGCTCTTAAAACATGGAATTCATCACACAGCATTACGTAAGTGTAATTTCTTAACATTAACGCATCGCTATCTGGATTACTACAGATCACCATTCGCGTGACATAAACCAAGCGCTATTTCTCTCTCTCAATACAGACTCATAATTACCAATCAGAGTGTCCGATTCTTCTCGCGGGCATATTTCCACTCGCTTTTGGTCGGGCGTCATGCCCGGTATGATAACGGTCATTTTGCGCGGTCCTTTGAAGCCCAGAACGTTCGTGTCGTACACCACCGCGGCCAATTCCTGCCGCGGATTGAAACGTTCGTCGCGCTTGTCGTCCTTCATCAACGAATAGCCGTTGTCGTACACCGTGAATTGCGTGCCGAGTAGATTCGATCGGAGCTTACCGACGTAGGACTCCCCGCCCCTAGAGAGATCCGTCGGATCGGTCGATATTAAATAATTGCTCGTTGCACTTTTTTTCCGTTTCCGACCGGCCAACAGGAAGATCTGCAACGTACGATCGGTGTGTGGAGGACCGACTGGCGGACAGAGCAAGTGCGCGCAAACATACCTTCTTCCCGTAATCGCGCTCTAGATGCAAGAAGTAAGTCGGGTAAAGGCCACGGTCCATCCCCTTCCTGTCGCGCGTTATTCGACACTTGTAATGCATCTTCTTATTCGCCGGTTGCAACACGAACTGCTCGATGTTCCCCTCCACATTTCCTTCTAACTCTGGACTCTGTGGAAACATCAAACACAATTATCGCTCTCGTGTGATTTTTGTGTACTGCACGAAATATACGCAGTGTGACACGTACCGAGGAATTATTCTCTCTACTGATGAGAGTATTGGATCCCTCCGACGGTGCTACTCGGAGTGGCGAGGAACATGGCAGAGTTTCCGAAGGTGAGTGCAAATCTACAGGCGACGATTCCTCATCAGCGCAATCAGCGCTTTGCGAACTCTCGTATAAACTTCTCTCATTGGCTATCGCTGTTAATGATCAACTCTTAATATAATTACGAATAAAATATCTAGATATATCTTTAGAAATATAGTTTTTGTATTGATTATGCAGGTTATTTATAGCTGTTTGCATATAAACATATAAGAACAGACTTCGTTGCAGAATTTGTTCTTTTACCAATGTAATGATAAATGAGCAAATTTGAATTTTTCACGATGTAAAACGTATATTTACCATTAATCGTCCCTTCGCTATTTTTGCGTTCCGTGTAAGGTCCTACGTCGGTATTTGCTTGTGTCATGGTGTACTGAAGTGGACCGTCATAAGCTACAAATGTGTTAACTATATTTTAATAAATATATTTAACATAATTACACATAATATTCATATTTGTAATAGTTATAATTAACACATAAGATTTTATTCGTGATACCATGAAGTTCCTTGTTTGGGTTCATCCATCTAGCAGAATGCCCTGTAAGTTGTGCACTGGACACAGTAGATGCCTGTACCATTCCACTGGCACCACTCTGCCTCTTTTGCTTCATCTTCTGTGCAATTAGCTGCCTCTATGATTAACACACAATATCGGTGAATTAATACATATCATTAAATAAATAAATAAATAATTCACACCACACGGATTACTGGCAATAGACTAACAATCGAGATTAAATGCCGCAAACAGAAGAGAATTCAAACAATGGGGGAGCTACTACCCATTACTACCTATTATTATCCGTAGGTTGAGCATTTGTTAATTATTCATCGCACGTTGAACGTATAGTTTAGATTTCAAGGCTTCCTGACGCTCGAATACACAATAATACATCATCGATAACCGATTTTTCTTAAATGTTTGACACATCGAGTCTCTTCGCAAAGTACACGTAACATTTTTTTTCGTCTAGTTAAATGGGTCGCTGTACCGTACGAGAAACAAGGTTACGCGTTCATGGAAGAGTTCATATATCCGCGGGTAAAGTCGCAATTTATTTATTAACGTTTAAGTCGTATACCTGCTGCTCCAGTTTCTGCTGCCTCAAATCGAGCGACGTCATCTCGACGAGCTCCTGCGAAATTCGCTGTCAAACAATTGACGTCGGGAACGTGCGTGTGCGACAAACCAGTTTGTTTACGTCAAACACATTTGTTCGCTTGCGGTACCTAGGCAACCGTCAAACCCCGAACCGATGGCTTCCCCACGTTCATGGTGGGTTCGCAAACAAAAAGGCTAGGTTATATCTGTGTTAAGAAAATACCATGGATATAATGACCTAAGTATCCACGATAATAGAACAATATTGAATAATAATAGGAAAAATAACAGTAAATAACGAGGTAGCTCGAGAAACATTTTACAGCTTGAGGTCGCTGAAAGGAAAGTCTGAAGTAATAAATCGAAATCTACCGATGCCGACGTTTCTGATGAAGTTTGTTAAATTGCATTAAGTAAAAATTATATATGTCGAATTTATACTGTTTGAAAGCACAGACTTTCCCCTTTATATATGTACACATAAATTGTAATGTAATTTTTGCTCACCGAGTTATATTGAACGTTGAAGCAAAAATGTCATTTCATTTCAGCATTGATTGTTCACAGGGGGTGAACAAATTAATATACAGAATTCGTTAATAGATAAGTAGAAAGCTTAAAGTTTCCACTTTAAAACGTATTTTTTCATATTTTTGATCAATATAAATTCTTAATATAAAAACCCAAACGAGAAATTAAAAATTGAACAGTGCATTGAACATGCAACATTTTTCATTTAAAGCGATTTATCTTAACAAAAACGAATAATAATGCTATGACCAAAACATACCTGAAAACTAGAGACTTCAAGCTTTAAAATGCTTCTTGAATGATTTTGTTATCATTATTTTCACCGAAATTACAGCTCGTTGAATTTTAAATGGCTGACCTATCGTTGGGTTGTACTACGATTTCGATTCTTTGGTGAGGACATTAGCGACTCGTAGTGGAAACTTTGGAATTAAATGCGGTGTCACTCCCAAGACTCGAATTCTTTTCAACTAACATTTATCGACCACTAAGCTGAGACTCAAACCTTTCTGATGAAAAAATTTTTGCTCAGCATCACTAGATAGCGTCAGGTAAGCCGTTAAGCAATGGTAAGTAGACTCTTTATATTTATTAGACCCGTTATTTTCATTAGTTTCGAAGTTTCCGCTACGAGTCGCCACACAATTTTAACTTTCCGGAACTCTTGCTGAGTTCTCGACATCGGCTGTTCGAACGAAAGTTAGCCACATTCTTGTTTATTTGACAAATCTTCAAACTCCACTTTCCTGAAAACGAAGTCCCAAACGAAAAAATATATTTCGTTCGACATCTCTTTGCATGTAGAATCGCCTTTTATTCGCTATTTTATTAATTTTTCATATATTTTTCAGAATTATATGTTCACGTTCTTAATACTTCGTTTATAATTAGCGATACTGCGCATGAGTAGAATTCAACCAATCAAATCCAGACACAGTTCTGGAAATCCCTTAAATGGACTTCTCCCCCTTATCCATAAACTCCGCTTACATTCCATCCTTACATTCTTACATCCATGCCTAATGATCATGGAATTTCGTTAATGGGTAAACATAGTAAGAATTATTAAAAGATATCAGTAAACATCAAACATGGATGACGAAGATGAAACTTACAAATTGTGGCGCATTCGGAAGACGATAATGCAGTTGTGCCACGATCGTGGATATCTCGTCACACAAGATGAGCTGGATCAAACGATAGAACAGTTCAAAGAAAACTATGGAGACAAACCCAGCGAAAAGAGACCAGCCAGGAGTGAACTTATCGTCCTTGTAGCGCACAATGACGATCCCACGGATCAGCTATTCGTTTTCTTCCCCGACGAACCAAAAATTGGTATCAAAACCATCAAGACTTATTGCCAGCGTATGCAGGAAGAGAAGATCCACAGGTTGGTTGTGTACACACAGTATTACATTATTATATTTTTTATAAATATTTTATATATTATGTTGTTATATATATATATAGTATGTTATGTTAATGTTTGATGATTGTATACAGATATTTTGCACAAGGAAAGATTTGTCACTGAAACATAATGCTTGTACCATTGTTAATCGTATTATGAACTTATATTCTTAGATATTCACAATCAGTATAATTGTATCAATATAGATTAACAATTTGCATTTTTCAACTTGTCCTCAACATCTTTGAGAAAATTGTAAAGCATTACTAATGATTTATTACAGAGCGATCATTGTGGTCCAGCAAGGCATGACCCCATCAGCCAAACAATCACTGACAGATATGGCACCGAAATATATACTGGAACAATTCTTGGAGTCAGAGCTATTAATCAACATTACCGAACATGAGCTGGTACCTGAACACATTGTCCTGACTCCGGACGAAAAGGAAGAATTGTTAACAAGATATAAATTGAAGGAAAACCAGCTGATGCGAATACAAGCTGGTGATCCAGTAGCACGTTACTTTGGTTTAAAAAGAGGACAAGTTGTAAAAATTATTAGGCCATCAGAAACTGCTGGTAGATACATATCCTACAGGCTGGTCTGCTAATGAGAAAATGGAGACAAATGGTATTGAAAACAAATCACAGTTTTATTGAGATTGAAAATAAAAATGAAAAACATCAATTCAAAACTCTTGCCATTTATTGTACCAGCATGTTTTATATAGCAGTAATCGTCGCAATCAATGTTGTACCATCGTGCTATACAGTTGAATTGCATTACGAATGTTATTACTATATTAGAAACCATCTGGCACCGGATATTAAATGATCAGCAGTTGGTGAATAATAATATGATTCTCATTTTGGTATATACGATCTGTATATTTTTTTACTCTTCCCAATAATTGTCGTACTTTAAATGCACTTGTAGGGCGAATACACACACGTATATGCGTATCTCACTCGCGTATTTTGACTCACAGTCGATTAAGATATAACTTAAGTTTACGGAAACGACGATCGTATAAAAGATCGCGACGTGCGATCATCTGTCGTGGGCGAAAACATTCATTTTGTTATTCTTTATTATTATTAGTATTATTATTAATATTATTATATATTGCTTGGTCCAAAAGTATCGTGCTATACAGTATCCTGAAGTAAAGGTATATTAGTAGCAGGATTTTCTTCTCGAAGCAATTATAATTTGGTTAATTCGCTAATTGTTAATTATTCGTTAAGTCTCAAAATAATTCCACTAATAATATAGATATCCTTTTATAAATTTCATTTGATTGTGAAGTATGCTTTCAAATTACACATTTGTAATGTAGTCTTTCTTCTCTTTTATTCTCTTTACCCGTTTCTTTTTATTTCTTTTTTTTTAATACTGTTCAATTTGCTCGTGAGAGAAAATTCAATCGAAGGCATGATTAGACAATAGCAGTCTATCAACGTGATTAAATGAGCAACAATCGCAAAACTCAAGTCCTTTGACCCCAAAGGTACAAGCAATCCTTACATTCATAGATACTTAGATCATTAAGATACTTAAGCGTTCTCGAGAGAAATAGGGAGGAGGAGAGTTTCTCTCCCTCGAGTTCCAATCCAATACTACTACAATTAGACATCCGAATCTAATATTTATCATAGTATTTCAATCCTAATGTGTATAGGGAAAAAACGTCGAGCATCGTTAGCAAGCCGGCGAAACGACAAGAAATATCGATCACGAGACGCGTTCTCTCTCTATATCGAAATTTCCACGATTTTCCGCGTTAACGTGTTTATCGTGGTCAGCTGATAAAGCTAAAAGCGTACATTAGCAGGAAGTCTCTCGAACACGATTATCGGCAACGTGTACAAGTGAGCGATGAACCGACCGGTACCGCTCGTTATTCGACAAGATAAAACTGTCGCTGCTAGTAGAGCGCGTTATCTAAAGGAGTTATCGTCGTTGGGCGCAAGTAAACAAAGCACGAAGCGGCTATATATAATTAATATAATATATTGTTATTAATAAAATGTAACATAACGCATTAATAGTCATAATAATAACCATAAAAGATAATAATATTAATAATTACACAATAATAGGCTACGAATTTTTTCGTTATTTATTATTTACGCAGTAAATAAAGGAAGAGTATAGTTCGTCGAAAAGAATGATTAAAAAAAAAAAAAACGAGAGAGAGACAAGAAAAACAAAAAAATAATATACATTCGGTTATCCTCGAACGCGACTTCGAAGTTCATTTCGAGGATCACGCGAGAGAGACCCTTAGATCCCTGGGGGGTATCTGTAAATTCTTAGATAACTCTAGATAAAGGATCGTTATAGATCGTTAAAGTTCTATAAATGCTTGAATCCTTAGATCCTTTAGGCATCTTTTAGGCATCCTCAGATCCCATAGACATTCGCGATATTCATAGATCCTTGGACCCTTGCAGATAGCATTAAGAGACCCTCGGATCCTCGGACCATCGTCCGGCATCTCTAGGGCTAAGTTCGTTTTAGAGGTTTTCATACTGAAAACATCATTCATTCTACCTTCCTTCAGCGTGTAATGAGTAATAAAGATAGAATGACGCTTTCGGCACGAAAGCGTCCAAAATGAATTCAGAGATGATCACACTAAGCGCCCCTAAAATCCCAAGATGTTCTTATCTTCATTAAACATTGTCGGATGTTTCGATGTGATGTCGATGACGGTGGTGATTTTCATCTTTAGTTCTCTTCTTCGTCTAAATAAACGCGACATTCATCCTTCTTAATATCAGAGGATTTTGGTCTTGGAATATGAACAATTCGCACGTTTACTCGATCGTTTACTTGTAGAAGACTTTTCGGCGAGACCACCAGTACACCCTGGTGGCCCATTCGATGGGTGAGGTTTGTAAAATATTGTTTATGAAATCCGCGGCAACTCGGATCTTGTAGATGATAGTAGTGGGATAAGCCGGCCGCTGTTCCCAACAACTACCCCTGCCCTTTGAGGCCTGAAACACCATATTAATGATTGGATGAAAACATATGAGAATAATTAAATATAATGTTAAAATAGGGAAGGATAAGAAAATGGAAATAATTCAGAGAATGAAGAATTACGAGATGCACATTTGGGACGCTTACCTAGGAGTGATATGGCGTCACATAGGTAGATGGGAACAGTCCTCGTCTATTTCCGATTTCTCCGTTCCACCAATGCTGATCCGAGCGATCCGTGACAGTGATGACGTCTCCTCGTCGAAACTCTAACTCGCCGGTTTCTTGCGGCGTGAAATCGTACAATGCTTGCACCAGACACTGAAAGCCACGAAAGATCATTTTTGACAATCAATAATAAATATGCTAATGAAAAATACTTCCTTCGGCACGTTCGAATAGTTTCTTTTTTTATATAAATTAATACAGTTAAACGGAGAAACGGTTAAAAGAAGAAAATGTAAAAAGCATATCGTAATCGATTCTCACCTCCTCCGGCACCATATCACGCAGCTTAACATCCTGTGAGCGAGAAACAGATGCTGAGCGGTGGTATTCCACCAGTTCATTGAGGCTGTTGAATTTAACAACCCACAAGAAGAACTTGCCTTGTGCGTCTCGTAATACTTTAAAATGCTGCACACCATCAGAGCACCTGTCAATTTAATTTAACTGTTTCATCTTATATTCTTATTATTAATATCAATGATTAACTATTTTAAGCTATCTTTTAAGGGAATTATTACATAAATCCTTATTTATGAGACAAAAATTTGTTCAAACCATTATTTATACAGTACAACTAAAATACTTACTTTACAGATAAGGAGAAATCACCAGGAGAACTTTCACTAATTCTGATCAAAAAAGCACCTTCGTGTTTGTTCATTAACAATCTCTCAGCATCTGCTCTGGTTATCCTTCCATAGTACCAACTATAATAAGCACAGAAACATAAAATGATTTTTGTACAAAGAAGCTACATACACATAAGTGCATTTTGTTTAAGAAAACTTAGAGAGAGCAGCTTTATATGTACAAGAGATATCATTTGTTATCAGACTACAAATTGTCTCTCTTATTTAGATATTAGTATGCAATATATACATACTCATGACTCTTCATCTCAATGTAATTACTTGGTATAAGTCCCTCTTTGGAATCTAATTCAGCTTTATACCAATTCATGTCATCTTCCATGTTCAAGATCTGAAAAAATTACATATTGTGCATATAGAATGCATATAGAGAATAGAATTTCAGGAAATGTATAGATTTACAAGGTATGTCATAAATTGATAGAATCCTTGTTCCTGCTAAGCTTGGATGATGCAATAATCTTTGGACATTAATAAAACTTCCATTTAAGTGATCAGATATTTGGAGATATATAAATATATATTCAATATAATTTCATTATGTGTGTGTGTGTAGAAATTAAATTGTACGCACATGCATGATAAGATGTGCATCATTTAATTTCTCGAAAAACAAAAACTCACTACACCTCCAGATTTTATTTTTTCCTTCTTACTTTCTACCTTCAAGGTCTACGAACATGCCCATATTTGTTTCATTGCAAAAATATAAAAATTACATTTGAAATGTGAATACAAGTGTGGCCGAACGCGCAAAAACAGACCCGACCGCGGGACAACTTCGCGACGGTCTCGCTTCGCGCGATAAACATACATATAAACAGCTCGCATGTCGCGTCAGATGCAACAGCTAGCCCTCCGTCACAGCGAGGACCGACCAACGGTGGTGCACACGAGCATCTATGTACACGGTAAAAGCTAACAGCTCGCTTCGTGGCGAGTGCACGTTCGCTACGCGGCTAGACGCCGCGACCAGCGGACGGACGATAGAAGTTTCGGGATCGGCCGAGGTCCCGTGACCGCGAAGCGACGCGACGCGCTTCGCCGTTGGTCGGCCGTGCGAGTCATCCCCGTGCTAGCTCTCTGACGATCAGGTGGTTCCCCAACACCGTGATCTACCAACCTTTAGGATTTGACATCTGCGGAAGCTGAGCTCGTCCTCGGCGGTCGCCGTGAAGTCGTGCTTCGCTATTGCCTCCATTCTTCTCCGACACGTCCGAGACGTCGGGAAAGAGATAGACGACGAGCAGCCGCTGCTGGAGGTGAGAGTGAGAGGGCGCTCGCTATACGTTCCGCGCACAAGACGGAGTACCGTCCCGAGGGAGACAGCGGTAGATAGGTAAGTGAGGAAGGTACCAGTGGCTTTGAAGGAAACGGTGGAGAAGAGGGGGGAGATGGAGAGAGACGGTGAGCGCACTCGCTGTGCCGCACGCACGCGAAGCAACGGGTATCGGTCTCTCGGGAGTAGGATCGACGAAGTGTGCTGTATGAAGCACGTTGGAAAAAGGAGGAGCGATACAAAAGCGCCTTCTTAGGGGGAATGAGAGCGCGGAGCGAAACTCGTTAGAGGGAGCGAGAGAGTGCGAGCGTACAAAGCACAGGAAGGGGAGCGACACTATACGTAGCGTATATGAGATGCACGACGCGCTATATTAAGTGCACGTAAGAGAGAATGAGGGAGAAAAAGCGGAGGCAAAAGACGACGTTGTTCTCTCGAGTCACGGTAACGCACGGGAGTCGAGAAACGTGCTGCGTCGCGTTCTCCCCCGTGGCGGCACCCCTTCGTCACCGTCTTTTGTCCTGACGCCGGGTGGGTGGTGTCGGCCGAAGGACGACACAGGATATTGTACTCGTGTCTACGTGTATATGTAGTACACGTATACACAGGATACGGATCCTGGGCACGTAAATGAGCACCGCGCACGCACACACCTCACGCACAGCTCTCGACGAATGCTCCAGCTGTGACTACAGCCTCAACATCGTATTAATTTCCTACCACCGCGAGTCACGCGCGAAACGTACACGGCGAGCTGTCAAAGGCGATCGGTACGTAGCCTCACAACAAGTCCATCACCGGTCTTATCAGACATTACACTTGCCATTCGGCTCGATTCGGCTTCGTCCGTCGTTGCTCGTGCCACCATTCGCCACCTGCGTAATCGACCATCGCGCACTGTGTGACGTCACGCTACGTCGATTGGGACGTATAATCGCATAAGGTGTAGCAAGGTGTAGCAGTACGAAGACGCGATAACGCTGGAGGAAAGAAGCGTGATTCACGCTCGCCGATTCATCTCTCGTTTTACCAGGAGAAAAAGATATCGCATCGGATTATTGGAAATCTGATTAATCGGAGAGCGAATTCTCCGTTACCGCGCAGGAATGATTATGTTTCTTTCGAAGCTAACGAATATCAGCTCGGAGCGAGGGTTACACCGGAGAAGGGAATTCTGGAGTTGGTACTTGACAATTTTTACCTCAGAAATATATATGTATTATGCGTGAAATCGCTGTATCTGATTTTATTTCTTCAACGTGGAGTAGCACATGAAGTACAAGCTACACGGAAACTGACAAATAATTATTCGTTGTAAGCAATTTATTGCGCGAGAAATCGCATCGTGTATTCCACGCTGCGGGAAACTCAATCACGAAGAGGAATCGTTCAGGTAGCACATCACAGCGACGTTTGAATTTGCCGCGGATTCCTCGACGGTCGGTAACGCGACCGCTGGCGCGGCAAGTAGCGCCTCTGGCGGCGGGTCGGCGTTGCGCGCGCTCAGGGCGCTCACTCCGCCGCGAAGCGACGTCAGACGATCAGCTGTACGCTCGTCGCGGCTACGGCTTGTTCGCGCGCGCCACAACAGGCCCATATTGTCGCTTGTGATCGCGCGCGAGTGCATCGCAGCACAGTAGCGAGCACAGCGCTCCCGGTGCGATCACGCGGCGGACAGACGACAGGCGGGAACGAATCTCGGCCGTGTATTTCGACGGGCAGCGGGGCATGACGGGAACAGGTGACAATAGAGCCGCGCCATGTTAGATTTCACGAGATCGCGAAACGCGCGCCGCTGCCGCCGCCGCTGCTGCTGCTGCCGCCGCCGCCGCTGCTGTTGCTGCCGCCGCTGCTACTACTACCGCTAACTACTACCGTGGTGGCCAGTACCGTGTGGAAAGAGAAAGGGAAGGAGGAGATTTACACTTTGTTTTCTCGGCTCTCGCGCGCGCAGCTTTCCTCCTCACGACGGTGATCCATCCGAAAATCATCCAAGCTGGATAGGTTACCCGAGTATCTCCGCGATACCGTGGACTGGTTTATGGGGTAAGTCCTGCCTCTTTCACTGTGTTGTCACCGAGAGAATCGCGGCGGTTCGTGTAACGCCTGCACCGATATCCGCGCGCGTGTTCGCTGTCCGACGCTGGAGCGCGCCAGCCCCGAGCTGTTCTCTACGGAGAGGTTAACCTCTCCAACCCGCTCGTGTCCGCGCGCGTCCTCGTCTTCTTCGTCCTGCTCGCGCGATCACCCGCGCCAGAGCTCGGACTTTTCACCGCGGAGAAAGTAAGCACGCGCGCGGCACCGAGAGATTTTCGAAGCGAACCGTCTTCGTCATCGTCGTCGGCCGCGCGGAGTGCGACGCGTGCACCAACACAGCGCTGAAGAACCCACACGTACGCGCAACGTTTACCTGTCCGATTCACCGGTCCGTTTAAAGTCGATCTTTTCTCGGCGAGGACTCGATCGGAGTCGGTTACCTCGCTCGCTTTCTGCGAGTCGACATTTCTCACGCGTTTCCTCTCGCCTCCAAGTGTCTTCGACAACTTGGCGATCAGAGACGTCGGGATCGCGAAGACACACGCATTCGGCGTTGCCCCGCGAGTTGTTTATTTTCAACCGAAGGTCTTCCCGGGTTCGGTTCGTAAGAAGAAAATTCCTCTTCACACACGTTTTTCACCGCTGCTCGACACCACGTCTGCCTGCCTGTGTGTGTGTGTGGTTTTTTCAACGCTCTCACGTAGCCGTCTACAGTTTTTGTTTCTCTTGTTTGTCCGTTCGGTCGATTGTTGCTCGCCTTTCCAACGAGTCAGCTTAAGGTCAGGTGCGAGTTTAAGACAGGCACGGTTTAAATAAGTCCGACCAGCGATTCTCTTTTTTTTTCTTCCTCGTCACACTCGGGTGTCTCATCGAGGAGGAACGATTCAAGCGACGGATTCGCTTCGGTGAGCTTTCCTCGGCGAGAGAGAGTCTCCACGGCGACGACGCTCGTCGTCGTCGCGATGACATTCAGTGCGCGGAATATTCGTCGTTAATTCAGCTTCGGCAGCGCAAATGATAATGAAATGTGACTTCCTTTTGGCTCGGGCCCGTGATCTTAATTTTAGATTGGATGTAAATTAAAGTGGAGGAAAACTGTGCGACGGGAAAAAGTGCGACTTCTCGACCCGATTTCTTCTCGAAGAAGGGAGAAACAAGAGCCGCAAGATTCCCCGAGGAATCTGTTGTTGATTGCGCGTCGGCGTGACCGGCTCTGTGACAGTGACACAGCAATCGATCGCGTATTTCGCTCAGGAGGATTAGTATAATAACGATTTTTCATTAGACTCATTTCACGAAGGGAGGATTCCCCCGACGCCGGTAACTTCTATTTTCATGCACCGTACCGTCGTGTATATAGGGTAGCCCAATAAATGAGTTCCGTCACGCTGACACGTCGTCGATCGAACGGTTTTTTCCGGTGAGACACCCCGTGGACCCGTTTGTAATATAGATAGAGAAAGACACGGTGTATTTAATCGTCACGTTTACATAGCGTTTAATCGAGGTTACATGCTTAGGATCGACCGCATGTACAATCTTGGCTCACTCGTACTACTTTAGTGCGTGGTTCCTCTTTCGCCTCGTATTCTCGCGTGTAAAATGCGGAACGCGGGTTTCCTCCGTAATGATATAAGCGAGAGTCCGAGATTAATATTAAGATAATTAATTTTCGGTGGAAAATTATAGCGGCGAATATACGGCCGTTCTCGGCCATTTTCGACCCGACGGTGTATGCTTACGTAAGACGTACAACATACATACACCGTTCTTATCGACGTGGTTTGGGCCGAAAAGGGCCGAGAGCCACACTATTGTAGCCCGCGACACTTAAAAATTGCGCAACATCGTAGCCTCGACATATCGTAGCTTCGATGGCCTTCGATAGATATTGGCGTTTCTATTGTATTCGTAGATATATTTGTCACGCGCGATTACGTTAGATTAGATCGGCCGTCTCGGTTTTCCGCCGATGGTTGATATTTTTTCGCAGAGAGAGACCGTCGCTCCGAGCCGGCCAAGTAGTTTTCGAAGTAGAGGAGGAGAGTGTAGTTAGAAATAGGAAATCCAATTAGAGGCGCGAGTGTAACATAGTTCGGGAAATATCGGCGAATCGCGCGTTTTACGAGATGCAAGATGTCCTTCTGCCCACATTGCAAATTTAAATGTATAATTTTACGTGTAGTCATTTTTTACGCATTTGAATGTGTCGATACTATGACTTTGCACACATAAGTGTGGAAAAATTGCACACTTTGCCACGCGTATTACGTAAAATGATCGCGGATGTTTACACGTGGAACATCGAGAACGATTGATTACATGCAGACAGCGCGCGATCTTCGAGGTAAACGAATGATATAAATATTCGCAAGCCGGGAAATTCCAGGATTGACTTTGGTATCCCGATCGACGTTTTTCGACGAAAAAATGATTCCGGCTCGCGGGTGAATCTCGAAGAGAGCGAAAATATTATTTTCGCGACGCGTGTGTCCCCCGTGGTCTCGCTGCTCGCGGGGTTAAACGTACAACAATAACACTCGATGATAACAAAGGCGATATGAAGCGTGTGTGTGTGTGTAACACGGCGGAGTCGCATTTGTCGGACTTAATTTGCGGGACACGCGAACCGCTCGTATAGTAGGAGGAATTCGCGTTACGGTTACCGTGTCGAAATCTTTGTAAGACGCCGGGTGATCTTACCGCGTTCCGCATGGGATTCTTCGCCGGTTATCGTCCGATGGTGGAGTTCCGCGAGCCTGGCTTTTTACGGGAAAATTTATGGACGAAGTTTCCCCGCGAAGAAGAGAGAGAGAAAGGGCGGAAAGGACAGGCTGTCTTTATACCGCGAAATTTACACCGCCAGATTCGTTCATTTTACCGCGACGCGAAATACGACACGGCGAATGATTATGGATTATTCCTGCTTTCACCGGATTCTAAATCACAGCCGCGCGGAAAGTCGAATTTCTCCGGTTGCACAAACCGCGCTCGCGGCAGCTGTTTTTCTCTTATGTCGACGGCGCGTACAGACTGATTCGTGTGTACAGAGTGTCCCGTTTCCGTCGCGTTATATTTTAACGACGAATTCTATACGGGGATGGCGTGAGAGAGGTCAATTCGCGCGTTCTTCGGCCAGAACGCCGAAGGTGTTCTGTAGCTTTCCGAAGATCGGGGACTAAAAATATAAGGCTTTCCGCTGAATATTGAGTTCATATTGATCCGCAATCAATTTCAAGTAGATTTTGGCCGAATAGAATTCTATATATATACCGGAAAAATTCTGTTGAATCGGCAGAATTTCCGACAGCACGTATAATTGGAATAAATCTTCCTGACTCAAGGCGGTACCGTTGAAACGAATACTTCAGTTATTGAAACAATACATAACGTAGTTTTAATGATATTTGAATTAAATTGAGAATTAAGAAGATTTACTCTAATTACGCTTATATATATAAAATTTGAAGTTTAGTTACATAGATACACGAGATATTTATACAGACACAAAATATGAAATATTCCGAATAATAGTTTGTCCCTTTTTCAACGTGAATATGTCTCTCCTGATTAAAAACAATCGGTGTCGATCAGTCGGGTCGTAAATCACTACCATGCATACAAGTAAACTTACGAGAGACACGTATCGATCGAGCGTTGAAAAGCGACCGACGATCTGTACTTTACGCAAAATTCCTTTCGACGATGATGTCACTTTAAAGGCCACTAGCTACTCGTCGACCGCGCTCTTTCCTTTTGGCCGATGATTTAATTAGCGGTATCTGCGGACGGCATTAAACTGACGCTTCGTCGAGACGTAAAAATACGTCGTCGGGTTGTGTGTGTGTTCGCGCGTAAATCGTTATCGGTATCATCGGTTCGTCGAAGGTCAAGGAGGGCCAAGTGCGTCAAGTGCAGCGCATCGCGAGAAACATCGTTCTCGATCATTGAAACCACGAAGCGCGGAAACGCGCTATCCCGATGCTTCGAGGTCGGCGGGAAAAATGTGTGTTTTCAGCGGCGGCGTTGCTCGGAAAAATAGCGTCAGTGAAATAACTGGCGGCGCGCCAATTGTCCGAGGTGAAAATTGGCGAAAGGTGTCCGTTTCGCGCAATCGACGTCGTCGTTCTCGTCGCTTAGAACAGTTCACGTATTTTTTGGTTTTTCGAAAATATCGTCGATGGCGAACGTCTCGATAGTTTCTCGAGTTTCGTGTTGATTTACTCGGCCGAAGATGGCGGTTCGAGTGTGTCTCTAGCGAACAAAGTCTGCTCGCGTTGGCTCGCTCGAAACCGAACGGAGCGATGACTCACTTCGATCTCTAGTGGTGCGATTGGTTTCCTCGGCTGATTCACGCACGGTCGCGCGTCCACTAAAACGTCGCGACGCAACGACCCAGCGCGATTTCACCAGGTTTCAGACGTCTCGGAGGGTTTCGAGAGGGTATCGACACGGAGAAAAATCATTTCGACATTGCAGGGAAACCACATCGTTGCTCCTGCATATTTGTCGCGACAGCGATAAAATTTCGCCGACATAACCAAATTAGCGAATTATTCGTAATTAAAGCAGAAACAATCTAGGATAGAAAATATTGTTTAGTGAAATTTGTCCTTAGGACACGTTAATTTGCTGTTAGAGCAAAATAGTGTTTTCCTGCATTTAGTGATTTGTCCCTGCATTTATTGAATTGTTCTTACGGCAAAATAAATTGTAGATTTAGCGAAATAATCCAGGGAATGGCAGTTAGTGTTTTGAACAGACCGTTTCGCTGACCGTATGGTAACTGACCAATTTTATTGCGACAGCATAAAATTTTCTGTGCCAGCGAATTATTTTTCTCCGTGGGTGAACTTGCCGGTGTTTTACACTTTACGCCCTCTGCAAAACTAGATTACTTAACACGTTCGCTATCACCGCCGCAGATGTGCGATGCGTGTTCTTTATCAGTTTATGATAACGTATTGCAATTAATTTGAAAATGGACGATATTGTTGAGCTAAAAAACA